AGTTCAATTTGTTGAGGATTATTGCCATAAAAGAATGTTGAAACTTAGGGCAGGAAATGGCTTCAAGGGGGCTTTAGTCCATAACCTAATAGCAGGGAATTCTTAACAGCTAGAAAACTCTGGGAAGTATGATGCCTGCTTCCGGTTTCCAAAACTCATGGAATTACCATCAGATTTCCTCACTGTGGACAAAATCTATCTATAAAGCTATCCCTTCAATAACACAGCAGGAGGTGTGGGTCACTCTTGGAGATAAGGGCTGCAGGCTTTAGGACCTCTGGGGAGTATTCAATTGAGGCCAAAGAAGAAAGACACAGGGAGCTGGAAAGATCTACAGAGGCTCATCCTGCTGTGGGATGTGGAACCAAGTTGCTAGTCAACTATCAACTTTTAAAATCTTCACTGTGTTTCTTTAAAGTTTTCCTATGTGGGGAGTCATTGTTTCTGTTAAGAAGGCTTTTCCTTCACCTGTATTTGCCCAAGTGCTTCCTCTGTACACACTGTTTCTGAGAATCAGAGTGAACAGCAGAGAAGAGGTCAGCAAAATGCAACCAGACACCTAGGTCCAATGCTCAGAATAGCCCCAGCCCTGACCTGGCTCCTCCCTTCCCATCCGATAGGTTGTCATTCACTCCTTCCCTGGTTTTGACCACTACAGTTATTAACAAATGCCCACCAGGCCCCACCTTTTATTTGGAACACTACCTCCTCAATACATAGGACTAGATCATGGTGATATCCTCTAATGAAAACTAGGTTAAGTCATTATGATTTCATGTCTGTAAATGTTGATGCCTTGACCTCCAGAAAGACAAAAGCCACTCTTCCATCATTCCAGCCTCTCAAAACACAGAACACACAATATGAGAGGATTAGGCAAAAGTGGTTTAGGGGCTTCTTCTTATAAATCCAAATATATAAGTACTGTAAAAACAAAACTGATCTTTGTAAAACCAAACAGGATACCAAGGATAAGACAAAAAACTATATATCGTCCCATTTGACTACAAGTACTCAGAGAACCAAAATACTAACTAAAAACTTTTAACAGAGATGTAAGAGGATTATAAAAAGTAATTTTATTTGTGGTTTATTTAGTTTCTATTATATATTCATGAATTCATTCTTTCTTTTAACAAATATTCAGTGAGCATCTACTCAGTCCTGAACACTGCCCTACTTTATTTCCCTGAATAGCTCTCATTATAAGTGCCAGCATTTGCAGCAATACTCTTTCTTAATAACCATGGATAGACACTGAAATTTCTAGAATTATTCTTGCATTTGACTGGTGGGAGCACACTTTCTATGGGACTTGGTATTGAAGTTGTAATTTATCAAAACATCCTTAAGAGTACTGAGCAGATATGGAGTCATTTCAGTCCATATTGTCCAACTGTTCTTTATGTTTCCCGAGTTGCAGGCTGGACTCAAAGTTAAGTAAAGGCCCCTCCTCATGAAGTCAGAGCTGCCAAGGCCTCTAGGGAGTTACCTAGACCAGCAGAGCCAAAGCCTTATCTCAAAGGATAAGGTGGAGTTTGCTTTTTTCCCCTATTGCAAAATAAGAGACTATTAAGTAATCTGTTTATAACACACAGATCCAAAATCCAAGTATTTTTACTTTTTTGAGACTGGGTCTTCAGGTTTGCCTTGAACTGATGATCCCCCTGCCTCTACCTCCCAAGTATGAGATTTAAACGTGTGCGCCACCACGTCCAACTGCAAGCTGACTTAAACAATCCATAGGATTTCCTCCAGTTTGGCAAAAAGCTGAGACTCTTGATTCCTATCTCAAGCTTGGCTCACCCTGGCAATTTCCTCTATCTATGTTAGAAATGAAACCCAAGTAGTTGTTCCCCATAGTCAACATTTCTAGGTTGTTCTGGTAACATCAATTTATCATCTACAGGCCAGTTCCACATCTGCATGGAAGCTGGAGCTTTTTGGTGCAGAATCAATATTAATATCTGAAATGCTGTGATCTTTCTACAAGTTGGTATGCAGTAACCACTCCATGTTCAATGTTATCTGCAAATCCATGCACAATATAAAATGACCAATGAAGGAATCCATCTAAAAGCTTTAATTTATTTTAAAGATTGAAATTGGCACTTGACGATCTTTTTAGACTATTACCTCTAAGCCATTAACATATGAGGGAAATTTTATGAAAACAAGGTTTAGGTCTTTAAATATACACTACACAGATAAATTCATTATTTAAACAAAAGATGACTCCTCTTCTGACTCATGCTGTTCTGAGTTTTGCAGCTGATGGTTCTCTATTGGGTTTTTAGAAGGTAGATTAAGTGTTATGCCACCCACTGAGAGTAAAGTTGAACAAGGTGAACTGAGGGCGTGGTTTGAAGTCTTTCCCCCAACTTCAGAACAGCATAGCATTAGAGAGAGAGCCTGAAGCTCTTCCTGCCTCAGTGAACATAATCCAGGCATCCCAACTCCTCAGGGGAACTCTAAGAGCCATTTTCAATACATGAATATGTCCAAGTGGTTATATCTCTTGACCTTAGCCAGCCTAGCAATCATTTGTGGAAATTACTAAAAAGCAAGGTTTTAGGTTTACTTTGCATGCATATTTTAATCATGTTCATCCTAGAAGCAAAAGTCGTCACTTCTGGGGTAAAAGGAAATGTAACTGATAATTTACCTGGAAGGTGTCCCAGATCATTGACCTTTGAACTCCTGATCCTTAAACTACAGCATAGCACTTCTGCCATAAATACACCAGAAACTCAGCTCTTCACAAGAGATACCATTTTATTCTCCTTCATTTATGCCTTTCTCTACATAATTAAAAAATGTAAGACAGATTCATAACCTTGAGAAACAATCCACTTAAAGACTGGATCTTTATCAGATAAGAAGTCTTGACAACCACATCATCTCTTTCCTCAGTCACAGAACCATGGATGTGCCATTGCAACTTCTTTATGCTATCAATCAGAGCCATTATGAAATTAAAGTCCTCCCACACCCATCCAATGAAGCCAAGTGAGAAAGGAGAGGGTCAAGTGGAAAGGTGCTGAATGAGAAAGAAACAGTCCATAACTTCCAACACTTCTACTGCAAGAGTGGCCCCACTGCTGGGAAGTTCTGTACCAAATACACTATAAGTCATCCTAAAAGGCCCCAGGATTCAATAGCAGCCAATTAAGCATGCCTTGAAAGATATCAGCTCAGCTCAGGAACCAGTCAAGAGGAAAGGTAGTAACTTAAAAATGGATGTCCTAGAAGAATGGGAAAGTGCAAGTTTCATTGCCATAAAACCAACAAACCTATTTCTTAACTGGACAAGCATTTCTATCACCTTTGGCTGTCTGTCCTTTTGCTTCTTCCTAAAGAAACCTGGCTACAGAATGGTGTCATTCATTTGTATTGTGTTTTATATTGTGATTGGTAGATAATTTTCTGTTTGAAAATCAAGAGAAATAATTCAGGAAATTTACTTCTTAGTCAAAGCTTTAAGAAACTGAGTGCAGTCTCCTACTATCAATCCTAAGGGTCTCACAAACTCTAGATTTACATCTGAGAACTCAGCTAAGACCTTGTTCTCAAAGGAAAGTGCATGCACATAACTACATCCCATTCCCAAGTTTTTTCCACTTTAATCGTTCTAAAATTATAGGAGTTTTTACTAAAATCTACATTATTTTTATGCCCCAACTATAATGACTTTATCTCCTATTTCATAATGGAGGGAGTTTTAGCAAAAAAGAACAGTTTTGCTCTTTTGCCTTCCTCAACTTAACACTTTCCCACAGTCATGCTGTGAAAATGTAAGGAACCCATGAAACAATATGAAAGAAAACACTGAAGTTTCCGTTTTCCTAAGAAACTTAGGCATCAAATTCTTACTGGTCAGACTTAACAGCATAAATGTGGGAAGTCCGGTGCTTGGCATAAGCAGAAGAAACTCAGTAAACAAACATGAGAAACAATGTTAACAGCCACACTCCTGGGGCTGTTCCAGGTAGCACAGGAGCCTCAACACCCCAGACCTAGTGCTCTGTCTACTTGAAGAATCACTCCAGAAGACACAATACCCATAATACAGTTTTTACTAACCCTATAATCCTCTGCTGCAAGACTTTGTAGACATGAAATGCTAAGGAAAAGGATGCCAGTCAGACTGCAGCCTCCAAAACACAAGAGAACTGTCTCTCAGGTGACATTCACAAGCAGAATAGGTCATATGGTTTATCCACAAGTTTTGTGTTAGCACTATCTATAACCCTGATTGTTTTATGAACCCTCATTTCTAAATATCAATAATAGAATGTATATTTGTGATGCCTTCACATCATTACTTTAATAAACATTAATGAAGCCCTGCCTTCTCGCTGCCAGGTGAGGCTACTCTCCTCATATTATTGATAAATCAAGAGATAAATAAAGCAAATGCATATTCAAAGCATGCTAGCACCAGATAAAATAGAACTCTCCTTCGACCTTAGCAGGCACTGAAAACACTAGTGAAAGAGGTGCTGAAGAGTTTTTAAATGAAAAGTGCTTGTCCGTCTCTGCCTAACTGAGGCTCATCCATGACAACCACTCTCATCCTCAGCTTAGGCTCACTTTTCCTACATGGTTATCATTCTCCTTCTGCAACATCTGTTTCTCTCCCCTGCAAGCTTCAAAAAAAGAATATTAAGAGGTACTAACAAATACATTTAGTAAATCTAGCAGCTTTCTGGAATTATCTAGCAAAACATTCATTTCTGACGGACAAGGAGCGCTAACACAAGCATGTATCTTAAAAGAACACTCAGGTAAGATCATGCTGATTTCAATTCCAAAGGTCCAGTGAAGTTCTTAAAATTACTTTCTGTGTCGAAGCAAAATGTAGAGATTAAAGAAACTCCACAGGCAACATTTGGCCTTTAACTTTAAAAATGCAAGATATAGAAATATATGAATGCTATCATCTGCAGAGACACTTGGCTATAAATACACACTTTCCCAGACCCAAAGGGCTTACTTACCTTCTACTTCTTCTTCATCACACACATGCTTAAGGAAGGAAGCCCCTCTGTCCAGGACAGCTTCATCCTCCATCCTATAGTAATAGAAAAGAAAAAAAGAATGCTCAGACTTCTCCTGGAGTGAGCCACTTGAAGCAGCCCAGCTCCTGGGCAGGTTAACCTGCAAGCTGTTGTTCATATTTGCAGGGCAGAGTCCCTCTTCCTTTGGTGGCTGCTGCTCCTTCACGCAGTTCTTCTCATCTGGTGCTTAAGAGTCTGCTGGTCCCACATAGCTCCAATTCTAACCTTGAGAGGGCAGCCACACGGCTAGGTAAGAGAAAATAATCCCAATCTTGTAGGCTGGATGATAAGGGGACTCTCCCCTTTGGGGTTGCAGGAAAAAAAAGAAGATAAAAGCAAAAGAAAAAAATACCAAGAGAGGAAGTTTGGTGTGTCTGGAGTGCTCGTGATGATCGTTTGTGGAAATCCAGTTTCAGTGCTTAGCTCTTTAAACACCCACTGCACAAAATGTATACCCTCACACGCGCACAGGCACACCCACCCACACACAGAGCGACAGGGAGTTAGGCTAATGCACAGTGGGAACCTAGCTTGCAGCCAGCCTCTTAATACCAGCACAGCCCAGTATTCTCTATTGAGTGGCAAGCGTTGAGTCACATGTTGGCCTTACGGAAATCTGACATCTGAGGATTATCTAGCACCCAGCTTCGGTAATAGGCACATATACATGCCACCCATCCATTCACTTCCACACTCTTATCACACGCCTGTCTGTGTGCTAGCTGCCCTGTTAACTCTTCCCTGAAGGGCACAAAGTTCTTCATTTTGTAACCACATTATGCTGTCCTCCTGTCTCCTTACATAATAGAATCTACTCTGCAATTTCATATGCTAAATAAGACCTCAGAATCTATCCAAGGAATGACAGCGTTTTTGCAGTCTCTGAGTGCCAAACATGTTTCTCGTTTATAGAATGAGTGAAGGTTTGTTTCCACAGTCTTTGGCTCCTTTTCACTGCATTTAACTTTGATACACAGAATTCCATGAATTCTATTTATAGTGAAAGCAGAAAGAAACCCTGGACTGCTCAAATGCTGCGTGTGTAGTACCGGGCTAGGAACAAAGAACTTTTTCTGGGGACAGCTGCTCTATGTCATAGCATCTATGAGCCTTGCCACAGAACCAAATGTTCACTCTGTATTCTATCCATCCAATTATGTGCTCACGTGTTGGCTATGGCTTACTCTGTTTTCCATATTGTTTGTATAACTTATTCTGGTGCTGAAGCTATCATCTAGCTAGAGGTGCACTGCATTCATTCGCAGCTTTTTCCTCGAGTTTAGGAACACTGCCACCTCAATAAAGTAACCACCTTCTCATAAAAGGTCAGAAATTTGATGTTAGATAGTCCTGAGTTTTATAAAACAAAAATCTAGTTCTACCACTTAGCAGCTATGCCACCTGGAATAAAGTACTTAACTTTTTTGGGCCTCGGGATTTTTTTTCCTTGTATGATTGACTCAATGCAATAATACCAGTCTTGAATTGATGTTTTAAAATCCAAATTAGGTACCGAACTTAAAAGTACTCAGCACAGGGGGCTGTAGAGATGGCTCAGCAGTTAAGAACACTGACTGTTCTTGCAGAAGACCAGGTTCAAATCCCAGTACCCACATGGCAGCTAACAACTGTCCATAACTCCAGTCCCAGGGGATCCGACAGCCTCTTCTATCTTCCGCACACATTGCATGACACGGGTGCACTTACCTACATGCAGGCAATACATGCATACACATAAAATAAAAATAATAAATAAAATATTTATTATATTTTATTTCAGCACAGAACCTAGCACACATTACTTTGTTTAGTAAATGTGTCTTGGGCCAGTAGGATGGCTCAGCAGATAAAAGCACTTGCCACCAACTGTCCTGACTACCCAAATTTGATCCCCAGTACCCATAAGGTAGAAGGAGAGAACCAACTCCACAGAGCTTTCTGACCTCCACACGTGCCATGACATGTAAGTACCCACACACACACATCATACACAAACAATAATAATAAAATTTTAAATGATTAAGCTTCCTTCTCCCCTTTTTTTACCCTCACCAATCACTGGTGAACAAAATCATTAAGAAATATCTCTAGACACTGGCAAGAGTTCTTTCATAGATAGGGGCCTCATACAGAATGGATCATCCTGATGTTAGGATTTTTTTCTTCTCCACATCCAAACTGAATACATAAAACAAGATATGGGTCAATCAGGAGGATTATAGTAGGAAAGAAAATGCCTTAAAGGTTTAGGAAGTTAAGTCATTTACCAATCCCTTTGAGCCGTAGGTTCCCATGAAGATTCGGTGATACAGCACATTCGGAGGTTTGGCAAATATTTATCACTTGCTATATTTCTTTCACTTTTCAGAGGGAGGGGAATACATCTCTGAATAAGACAAAAAGTTTCTGAAAAATTAATAATAGACCAAGAAAGAAGATCATCTTGGAGAGCATTAAGGGCTTTGCAGAAAGTAAAAAGACACCAGCTGCTGGTGTAGGCTTTTTCTGTTGAGGCTTCTATGAAAGTGACACTGACTTAAGTGAAAACTTAAGAGGAAAGAAACAGCCAGGTAAAAATGTGGAACAAGAGTATTCCAAGCAAAGGGAAGAACAAGTGCAAAGGCCCTGAGGTAGGAACAAGTTTAGCATGTTCCAGGAACTGAGGTGAGGTCAGATAGCTAGACAGCAACAGAGGGGCAACTGTAGAGACAATACTGGAGGCAACTGGGTTGGTCGTGTAGGCCATGAGGAGGAGTCAGAACTGTGGGCTCTGGAAGGCACTGAAGAACTTTAAGATGGAGAGTGGTATAAATTGTTTTATCATTCCAAAGGGTTATTGTACCTGTGGTGTGAAAAATGGATAGTTAGGGGACAAAAGAAACTAGGAAGCTATCTCAAGAACCGAGGGAGACTATGCCAGAAACAGGCTGTTGGAGAGGGATGAAGAGTTTGATTTAGACACTTTGATGAGGATGAACATCCTGTGTAAAAAAAGTTGCTGACACAGGCACGGCCTGAGTTTGGAGCTAGGGGCTCAAGGCTGGGGATAAAATGTGGGAAAGTCCGTGTATCAGTCTTGTGCTGAGCCTACTACAAGCCTAAGTTCATCCAAGCAGAAAAAGTAGGCACAGGGGAGGAGACCCAACACCACCTGCTGAGAACACAACATTCACAAGTCAGCCAGTGTGGCAAGATATATAACCCAGGAAAAGTGACATCAAGGAAATCAGAGAAAGAGGCGAGAGTTGCTCCTGAGATGCCGAGAAAGATGGAGATGAGGAATTAAAAGTTGGTTTGGTAACATGGAAGACATAGCAGTTCAGAACAGAAGCACTTGATGTGCCATACTCAGTGTCAGGGAGAGAAACAGGAAGGGCCTTTCCGTCCTTCTTCCAAGAATGAGAAGAAATATTTACTGAGTATCTACTATGCACACTTCAAGGTACCAGAGATGCACATTCATAGCCACCTTCTCAAGGACTCCCCCTAGGAGTTGGGGAGAGGAGAAGTAGTCCAAAGTGCAAGGATCCATCATTACCCAGCATGTGTATACAGAGATAAGGATGACAGCTTAATGAGGACATTCTCTTAAAAGACCTCAGAAGCACAACAAAAATCCCAGAGCTCTGTGCTACTGCACGTACGCTAATTCTACCCTCTCCCTTTGGAAAACAGAATAGTTGATCTCACGTTTCTTCTCAGAACTGACCCTTGCCAGTTCAACCAGCCTACTGAATCCAACACAATAGTGTAGAATGTCATTTTTGCACTCTATCATCAATCAAGCTGGTCCTAAAATCTTTTGTTGCTTCTTAATATATTTTCTAAAGAAAATATTTAGTTTTGAGAGCTAAGCCTTTCCCACAATTGCCTGTAACAAGCAAACAAGCAAAAGGAAAAAAAAAAAAAAAAAAGGAAAACCGAAGACAATTGGAGGGGAAGGGAGAAAAGTCAATGCTCAAGCCCTTTGGCCAGGCTGAGACCATCACCCAGCCTCACTAAAACATCAGCACCACGCTCTATCCAGAGAATGAGGTCATGACTGTGCATTCCTTGGCTCTTTGATGCATTTCTGCATTCCCTCCAAGTCATTGGAACTTAGCTCTTTCTGATGGACCATGCAGAGTGCCTGAAAACAGGTTTGTTCTCTGCAGAAAAAGGATGTGAGAGGCAAAGTGAAAATATGAGACCTGCCCACCATGGTGGCCTGTATCCACAACAGCCCTTTCTCTTCCTCAAAAGCAAGGTCAGCCTGGTGCACTTGGCCTTCTTCACAGACCACAGGGACATGCCACCTTCCTTTTTTCCATCTTACATGACAAATATCAGTTGTTCAGGCCTGAGTCCTTTTCAGCAGTTGCTGGCTATTATTAGTAAGATAGAGATATCATGTGAAGTGACTAACCTAACCATTTTCTCTCTATAAATCAGCAGGAAGAAATTAATTCACCTAGTCTCTAATCAAGTCTCAAATCTATCGTTAGTATGTCCTTTATATATACCCTGCATTTGCTGAAAATGCAGGAAGAAGCATACTTCCACACCACTTCAGGGTTGCTCACATCACCCAGCATGAGGCAAAGTTCAGAAGAGATTTGGAAGCTTCTCACCAGCATCATAGGGATGAAAGTCACACCAATTGGTGTAAAGTCCACTTTGGGTCAATGCTGCCTTCCTTCAGTAGGCCTGTGACAGAAGTTATACCCCTTCTACACAAGTCTACACCCACACTGGGGTTTTTCTTATTCTCCTTTATTCTGGGACAGCAAAATAATTTAACTGTAGCACATGTCAAATCAGCTGCCAAATGAACCGGCTTCCACCAGCCGGTCCTAATCACTGAGCAGGCTTGTGAGGGTGACTTAAGTCCGGCACGAAAAACATTTGTGCAAAACTGTCAGCCACTGGGACCAGAGCACCCATCCACATTCCACCCCTTTGAGATCCCACCCCCAGAGCCTGCGCCAACTGCCAACGTGCTCACCAGCTAGTCCTCACAGTGAAAGCAGCTGCC